ATTGTTGCGATAAAAAAGAAACGAAAATAACATATAGATAATAAAGAAAATAATAATAATAATAATAATAATGACGTATGAATGAACATTGACTTGTAAACGTTGCATATAAGTTCAATCGACGAGAATCGCGTGTGATTTTATCCTTTTGACATTATAACCTAATTTGACTGCAATGAAAACCGACAGAAATTATAAATATGATAAACTTGCTGATAAGTGCATCGATATTCAAACTATTTTCGTTATTGTATATTATAATAAAGTAAACATTAAAAAATCTATGATATATATATATAAAACTTAGAGTTGCACGTATATCGGGGCATATACAGAACATGTGATTCATATCTGAATATGCATTATGATTATTAGTTCGAGAAATATTATTATTATTATTATATTATTTATTGTTATGTTATTCACAAAAATTGATATATCATAATGCAATGCACTAACTGCTGTTTTAAGATAACGTTGCCACTTTTCGAATATCAACAGTCACGATGTATAAGTATTTAGACAGGGAACACACGCACTCCGAATATGTTTCGATACGCGTACAGTTTTATGCGCTAAGGCTTCGTGTACTTTCACGGTTTCAAGAAGTAGTAGAAGAAAAGAAAAGATTTCATCTATCTTTCTGCATCACTCGCTTTTGTTTGCCTCGGCCTTGCTGTGGCATTGCCTCTTTCCTCATTGTGACGAAGACGTTTGTCAGCTTGTACTTATAACTGATGACGACGTAGCTGTGACGTAGCTAGGATAATGTCAAAGCTATTGTCTCATGAAATGTCGACAATTATTTACGTAGAAGATAATTACGCAAAACTCCCTAGCTTTAAAAACTAAAAAAATAAAAAAAAAAAAAAAAAAAAAAAAAAAAAAACTAAAAGTCCTAGAAATTATTAAAATATGATTCTTGATGTTGTGTGTTTGCGAGAAGACAAGAATAATCAAAAACTAGATTAAACAAGATAGGATGAAAGTGCGCATAAAGGGAACGTCACACAAATTATTAACGCTGCACGAATTATTAATTAAATGTCATTTAACTCTCCACTCGCATCGTGTCGTTCTGCCGATTGACGTCATGTCGACATCGTATTGCAGCTGTCAAAATTTCACGTGTCGCATCCGTGTTGTCGGTCGAGTTCGGCAAAGAGCGCGAAGTGGGGTTAAAGCCCGATTAAGCTGGCTCTCGCAGATCGAAAGTGGAGGGAGAAATTACTTTTCGACGAATTGTACAAACGATCGCTGTTTATACGCATCTACCCGCGAGCATGATAATTTCGAGTAAACGAAACAACATCTCTAATATTTACGATCTACGTAACATTTCAGGTATTCACATATTTCACGTAACGCTTATCGTTTTTTTTTTTTCGATAATCTTTCAAGGTTACATTTTAAATTTTCTTTTCAAGATAATTTTTTTTACTTTTTTTACTCGATGAATTTTTCGGATTGACAAAGAACCAATCAAAAACATTTATAAAATTGTGGAATAATCAACGAGTAAAATTTTCCTCGAAAATGAAAGTTTTGAAATGTAGCTCAAAATATTTGAATTTCATTTCTTTGAAAGCAAGAGAGAGAGGAAAAGAGAGAATCGCTATTTAATTATGCGCTCTGGGACAAGTCTCTTCAAGCGCAGAAATATAAATATTATATTGTATGCATAATATAAAAGATAACATAAATGTAAAAACACAAATTTATTATTATTATTTTAAACAAATTTTAAAAACATTAGAGAAAAAGAAAAAATATAGAATAAATAAATGAGAATTGAGTGAGAAGGAAAGAGAAGGAGAGGGAAGGAGGGAGGGAGATAAGAAAACGCTTTGTCAAAGCTATACTTTGCGAGCAGGCAAGTCATTTAGTGACCGCGTGTTCGTCGAAGCAGTAGTCTATTCTGCGATGTTGGCATAGGAGATATCGTTTCTGTGGCGGTGGCGGTGGCGGTGGCGCTACGAATTACCGCGAGCGCGGGGTACGATGGGGCGAAACTATAGAATTAAATGAGGAGTAATCGCCGTATTAAAACTCGTTGTCGTGCCACCTGTCCTGTCTGTGCCCCCTTCGTCGCGCCGCAGCGTAGGAGCGTGCATTGGAAACACCTCACGGAAAGGTTTTGATTAGCGGGTCTCGTAGTACTAGAAAGCCTCGCGCAGGGGCGTTGCAAGCGCGCGTGCCTGCCCCTCTCCCCTCCCCGTTCCTACTCTCCCCTTCACTCTGCCTCCTTATCCGCTCGGTTTTCTCGCATTATCGCCTCACTTCAGTGCTGTCTGCTAACCACCACGGTGTCTCTGTATGCAGCTTGCTCCGATCTCGCGGCACCTCCCACTTACATACATACGATTTCAGCTCTGCCTTCGCATATATGTTGTGTCACAATTTTTATCGTGAGAGTAACCAGGAGAAGAGAATTTCTCTCGCGCAATTAAAGACAACGGCGAGGACGCGTCTTGTCACGAGAGGGAATGTGTTCTTACATAAGTTTGGTATTTGTTAAATTTTTTTATATATGAATAGTTTAACAAGAATATTTTTTATGCGGTATTTTATTTCTTGTATCACATTTTCTACGACATTTTCTTCTTAAGTACATATGGGTTCGTATTCTTACCTTATAAAGGCTCTTTATAAAGGTGCCTCTAAAAGCTTTAGAAGTCATTTAAGGCATTTATTTTTGTTTCGATAAAAGTGAGTTTACAAAATATGGATTATGTTTATCTGAATTGAGGTATATTGAACTTTGATAATTATTGATAGTTAAAATGTTTTATTTATGATTGAGAAAGTATATGATTAAGTCAGTGCGTTTCTTGAATATTCAGTGATTAAAGTTAATATGTAATTACGCATAATCGATTAGTTAATGCAAATGCCGTCTGGACTTATCAGAGCCCACACATAATAAAAAATTTCTTTCTAACATCTGATGCAATTAATGCTGATGTTACTTCGGACTCTCGGAAGAAAATATTTATGCTCTTCGCATATTTTAAATCGTGATGTATTACAGATAATTTTATATTACAAATTCGAAATACATTCAAGAGATCATTGTTAATAATAAATTTAATGCTTCTAAACACATCCGTATGTATTTAGAGATATAATTTTCATCTTTAGATGAAATTCATCGTACAATAACTTTCGAACAATTAGCGAAACACCAAACTTTCTCACTCACAAAGATGTATATTTATTGTTGCATCATTTTTCATTTACGAAATAACGTTTAAGTATCAAGAACTTGAACGCTTAATGATGGAAATTTAATACTTTCAACACCAAAGTTCTCTCTTCCCTTTCAGTTCCCCTTTATTTGATTTTATTTTTTAATCTGATACTAGGCGTGGCGAATTATGCATTTCAATCTGACGTACTTATATTCAGTTATTCGATATCGATAGAAACTCGTCAGACATTCGAATATCGTGCATACGCTTTCAACACTATTTTGGTACGGTTCTATACGCGTGTTTTAATAACTTTTTCCCGATCGAGACGGTTGACCCAATTCTTAACCTCCCGCGACCCTTCATAGCCGATAGGGGGGAGGTTTGATTCAAATAAAGATACTCTTTATTCAAGAAATCTGCTTTTAATGTCGAATTGTAATAAAATCAAATCTTAGAGAAATTAATTAGCTCTTTAATGTTTTTTGCTTGTCTTTTTCTATTTTTTTAATAATTGTCTTTACAAATAATTGAACATTATGTTTATAATTTGATTACTTTAATAAGAAAAATGTCAAATTATAATGTAGGGATGATACTTTATAACTTGAAAACTATTAATGTGGATCGATAAGTAAATTAAAAAAGAATAGACTTTTGATCAAGTTGCAACATAGTTGCAAAAATTATTAGATTTAATTCATATTTCATAATTTAAATCTTGCAAGATTAATTTTAGGAAAAACGCTACGCTGCTCGTTCTGCTCATTGATTGATCTATGAACTCGCTATCTTAACTTTTCATGAATTGTGCAGAATAGATAAATATGTGATTTTAAATATATTCCTTCGTCTCTCTGCAGTTAATTACGAATCTGATTATAATAAGAAAATTTGTGTCACATACAAATATACTCTTATTTCCTTTTCAATTAGACTAAACCTAATAATAAAACAGATCGATGACCCAGCTAGGAATTTAATCTCGTTTAAAGACAGCCTGAAGAAATTGTGTGTAGCACAATAATTTTTGATATTTTTTTAAATTGCACTTTATTGACTTTACATTAACACAAATTCTGACGTTTATATACTGCCTATTAATATCATGTCAGCAATATACTAGTACCAAAAAATGTTATTCTCATAAAGATGCAAAAAGAAATTCATTTTTATCTGATAAACAGCCACGCGGCTCACTGACAATCACGTTAGAGTAGTCGAAAAAGTGGACTTGTCCCGCTTTGCGATTCGCGGCATCAATTGAATTCAATTGGGACCAATCGGCCGCTGAAGAGCGTTCCAAAACCATCGGCGCTCGAAAGCGCGCCGCATACGAAATCGTGGGAAGCGACCCGATCAAATTTTCGCCAAAGAAATTCTCATCGAGGGAGCGATCGAGAGAAAGCGCGATGCTGCTGGCTCCCCGGGATATCAGCCGAGCGTGCTGGCGGCGGCGGCGG